ACAGATCAGTTCTATCTCTAATTGGAAAAGCCAAAAATGACTTTAAAGTGTAGAAAGAGGTAACATGAACCTATGAAAATTCTGCTGTGTGCTACTTTGAGTTGGTGTGACCTTAATTAAGATAGTTAACATTTCTGGGCCTGAAGCCCTTAATCGTTAAACAAAGAGAATGGACAATGGAAATTGACAGCTACTGAGGACCTACTATGTGCTGAACACCATGCTCAGCATGAACACAGAGCTCACTTAATTTCATCTTCACTAATCCTAGCTTCCTATCAAGTTGTTGGTGTTGATTTAGCTGAGGCAAAACAACCAATTTGCTCATTGGTCTTGGCCTGATTGTCTCCAAGACTTTTTAAGAATGTCCATTATCTGTACATTTTTCAAAATAAATTCAGAATGCTGCAACTGGTACACTTACACACATTATGCCCACTAAATTGATTCTTTTTAAAAAACTCTATAAATTTCAGTAATATGCTTCTTCTGACGATCAAGAGAGATGGTCATTTTAGTTCCACCTTGTAGCACAGGGACAATATTCTACAAGTTATAATGTAACCAAGGGGGGCCGTACTACAGATATTTACAGGGCATTAAATAAGTTCCTATACACAATATAGAAAGTTGATGGCATCAATGGAAATAGACCCAAAGCTCTAAGTTAACTCATATGTTTAATGTCCTTAAAGTTTCAGTCTCAGATTTACAGGATCCTGAGAGTAACATTATCTTCATTGCCTAACAACATGCATATTTTCAACATAAAAAATAAAATAGTCATTGTAACTATCATCAAATAATCTCTATAATATTCTGAGGGCTAATCTATGCAGCAGAGAATCAAACTAGAAATGTGTATATCCCTCAAAATGATTGGCCCATGCCACGTGACATATGTCCAATACTTGCTATTGGAAACACACCACCAGAAGAATTGACTTGACACCTTTGTTCTGCATTTAAGCCTAGACTGAACAACAGAATGAGGAAAGTACCCTGAGAGGTTCTTCTGTCCTAATTTCTTGGCAAGGTATGTTAAAGACTGATTTTTGAATTGAACCAACAACCTTGTATCAGTTTGAGCTATCACTGATAAATCCACTTAGCTCTAAGGTAGACATTCAGTTCATTGCAGCAAACAAGCAAAATGTTGAGAGCCTACTATATAAGTCAGAAGAAAAGATATGAGAAGGAGATGAGATTGAATGATACATCAGATAGGAACCTACCTGCAAATAAGGTGACCGACTGTCCTGATTTACCCAGGACTGACTGTGGGGATTCTTGAGTTGTGGGGCTTTCATTTTTAAAACCAGAACAGTTCCAGGAGTACCGGGACAAGCTGGTGACCTCAAAAGTCAAGTTAGGAAGCCAAGCATGCAAATTCAATTAAATATCCGGTCATTTCTCTGACATTCCTATATCAACACTCTTGTTCAAGGTTATAATAAATCAGTAATCCAGTTACCCTTGAGTTGACTCTGACTTATAGTGACTCCACGTGTGTCAGAGCAGAATTGAGCTTCAAAGAGTGCCTCAGAAGAAACGTCTAGTGATTTAATTTCAAAAAGTTCAGCCATTAGGAATCGTATGGAAAACTGTTCTACTCTGATACACATTGGGTCTCCATGAGTCAGTTGACTCAGCGATAACTGGTTTTAAGCTGATATTAAGGTTATAATAATAATTATTAGGCTCCCTAGAGTAGAAACCATGCCTGTGTGAAGGGTCTTGCATTTATTACTTAATTCTCACTAAAAGAAGAATTAGCATCAAATTCCTGTGGAATCTGACCCCTGTGGATAACTATGATGCCAGCACCTAGAAAGGCCACTCCCCTCTCTTCCTGGGGCTGTTTCCATTCCCTCCAAACCAGTCTCCTACATGTATATTTGCTTGAAACTCACTGCTCACCCTCAGAGCATATTGTGTAAGCTCTAAAACACACATGAGATCACTCCATACTCTAACGCCACCTCATCTTACCCAGAACCAAATCTAAATCCTCATCATGGCCTGGAATTTGCCACACAAATAACCGCATATCCTACCTCATTCCCTGTTACTCCTTGTGCTTTGGAAACACTAGTTCCCTTGCTATTTTCCTGAAAAAAAAAACAAAAACAAAAAACTAAATATATTCTCACTCCAGGGCTTTTCACTTGCGGCTCATTTTGGGTAGAATATCCTTCAACCAGACCTCTTCTAATACTGCTTCCTGATAGAGGCTTTCTTGAAATCTCTTATGTATCAGAAAGAGTTCTATCTCCTTACTTTATTTTATTCATTTTTACATAACATTATATCGTATATTTTAGTTTACTGTATCACTCATTAAATTTTAACGACATGATTTTAGGGGCTTGTATGTTTTAATTACCAGTGCATGTCACTATCCACAGCACTGTAGTAAAATAGAAAATCGATGAATATTTTTTGAGTAAATGAATGTGTCATGAAGATGATGATGATGACAATCTTTATCCTTTAGATCATCAGTTTTTATTTATACAAAGTTAAAAGAAATAACCCATGACCCTATCTAGCTGCTACTATCCCAACTAGCATCCTCATCCAATGATATCGTGCATCTGTCATGTTCCCGATGTTGCATTTTTTTCACTGTTAGTATTTGTCAAAGAGACAGCTATAAAAATGTTTCCTTTTTTCTATCACAAACACTCTAACAGTTTTACTCATGCTTATCAAAGTTATATGAAGTAGCAGTTGATTTTAAGTTACCAAATGTGAAGAATTAAAACAAACCATAAATTGCTGCTCTTTCCTGTTTAAAAATCAGTAATCCAAGATTACTACTCGAATTGATACCTGGAGGGAATGCAGTATCAGTGTTCTCTCTTCAGGCACAATCATATAACTTAAGATAGGAAATCCCACTCTTAGACTGGGTTAAGGCTGAAAGCCTATGTACAGTAGAAATACAAGAAGTGTCACAATCAGAATTTATGTTTGTTTAGGAGACTGAGTTGAGGAAAAAACAAATTACAAGAATAGAAGTGACATAAATATAAAAAGTGAGGCTATAAAATCTTGAGTTGCAATATTTCCAATGAAAGGCTTGTGCATTAAAAGCAAGAAAAAATCATCAGGGAGGAAAATTTCTTCTTCTTGATTTCATTATTCTAAATGATTAACACTTGATTTCAATTTCATTACATTGCGTAATGAGGTCCTAAGACAATAATTGCAAGCATATGTAATCTTAAATCAATGCAGAAGTCAGAACATACATCTGCTCATACCTGCTTTTCTAGGTGAACAATTTTACAACTGCTTGCCTCTGCTGCCATCTACTGTATGACAACCAAACTACAGGAAGAGAAAATAAATGCAGCTGCTCCTTGGAAAACCCTTTGGGGCAGTTCTACTTTGACCTATAGGAAGGATCACTAATGAGCCTGAATTGACTCCATGGCAAGGGGTTTGGTTTCTACTCTCCATGTGGGTCCCTGAATGGTGAAACAGTTAAGGAGCTGAGCTGCTAACCAAAGGTTGGAGGTTCAAGTCCACCCAGAAGTGTATCTAAAGAAAGGCCTGGTGGTCTACTTCCCGAAAAATCAGCCACTGAAAACCCTACGGAGCACAGTTCTACTCGGACACATGTGGGGTCCTTGTGAGTCCAAACAGACTCCTAGGCAATTTTTTTTTTATCTCTATATGCTTTGACCTAGTTAGAAATATGGAATAAACTCCACTCTCTTGTGAAAGGTTAATTATTATACAATTTAAGTTGAGATGAATTAGGCACTATGCACAAAGTCATTTACTAAACAATCAGTAAACTTGGAATATGAAAATAACTAGAAACTTGAAGCAAGAACAGTGTAAATTCAGATTCCATCATTAACTGTATTTGAGAAAGTTATTTGCATCTGTGAATACTACTTTTCATATTCAAGAAAAAGTGGATATTTATTCCTAAATTTACAGAATTTAACAGAGGATTATAACAAGGTAATGTGGGAAAAAAACTAATATAACTTATGTATCTAAGAGCTTTATACTAGTTTTAATCCCCCATCCCTTGTTATATTTCCATTATCATACTAGTTATTGATGGGGACAATGGAAAAATAAAATGAAAAAAATGTATATTATAGAATCTGTGACTTTGTCACATGCACTTTATCTACATAAAGAAATGAAAGCTGTATAGAAAAATCTGTGTATTTAATTTCAAGCTCTGCAGGGCTTCAGAAAATGGAAACATCAGTATAGATGAGATAATATTCAAATAATGTTTTATACATAGTGTGGATTTAGTAGGGTATGAATGAACCCCGGTGGCACAACAGTTACGTGCTCGGCTACTAACCGAAAGGTGGGAGGTTCGTCCTGACCCAGTAGCTCCACAGAAGAAAGACTTGATGATCTGCTCCTGTAAAGATTATAGTCTAAAAAACCATATGGTTTGATTCTTCTCTGTCACATGGGGTTGCTGTGAGTCAAAAATCAACTTAACCGTACCTAAAAACAATAGGGCACGCAGTACCTTTACAGTTTAAGGACAGTGATTTCAAATGGTGGGTGCATTTTAAGAAAAGGTACAAAAGTGAGAAAGAACATGAAGAGAGCAGTAAGGTAGGATCAAGTAATGTCTGGATAGATTAGTGCCAGTTAGGGAGGGAAGACCAGAAAGTAACAATGCAGAAGATGGCTAGAAACAGAGGACATAGAATTTCAGCACAGAAAAAGTTTCTGAGTCATATATGTCAGTTATTACTGTAAATATTCCCTGTGCAATTGATAGATGCTGGAGAAATACAGGATCTGAGTTGTGCAAACCGTTAAGCACTTGGCTGCTAACCAAAAGGTTGGCAGTTAGAGTCCACACAGAGGAGCCTCAGAAAAAAGGCCTGGTGATCTACTTCAGAAACAAACAATTGATTCTAAACAAATATTAACGAATTCAAAATTCCTTTTTATGTTCTTGATTTTTCTTGCTGCATTTTTTTTTTTTTCTTTTAAGGAAGTTAAAGCAATACCTTTTCATGGAGAAGTGGAATCAAATTTCAAATGATTCCATTTTGTTGGGGCTTTTCCCCCCAAATCAAACTGGCCTGCTGCTCTTGCTCCTTATCATCCTCGTATTCTTTCTGGCCTCGGTGGGTAACTCAACCATGATTCACCTCATCCACATGGATCCCCGTCTCCACACACCCATGTACTTTCTCCTCAGACAACGCTCCCTCATGGACCTGATATATATCTCTACCACCATCCCCAAGATGGCGCTCAACTTCCTCTCTGGCCAGAAAGGCATATCTTTCTTAGGATGTGGTGTGCAAAGCTTCTTCTTGACAATGGCCTGTTCTGAATGTTTACTCGTGGCCTCCATGGCCTATGACCGTTATGTGGCCATCTGTCACCCCCTCCATTATCCCAACCGTATGAGTAGATGTGTGTCCAGATGATCATAGGATCTTGGATATTAGGGTCCATCAACTCCTTGGCACACACAATTTATGCCCTTCATATTCCTTACTGCTGGTCCAGGGCCATTGATCATTTCTTTTGTGATGTCCCAGCCATGTTGCCTCTTGCATGTATGGACACCTGGGTCTATGAGTACATGGTTTTTGTGAGCAATAGTCTCTTTCTCCTCCTTCCTTTCCTTGGCATCACTGCATCCTATGGCAGAGTCCTTTTGGCTGTCTACCATGTGCGCTCTAAAGAGGGAAGGAAAAAGGCCTTCACCACCTGTTGAACTCATTTAACTGTAGTTATCTTTTACTATGTACCATTTGTTTACACCTATCTTTGGCCCAGGAATCTCTGCTCACCAGTAGAAGATAAGATTTTGGCCGATTTTTACACCATCCTCACTCCCATGCTCAATCCCATTATCTATAGCCTGAGAAATAAGGAAGTCCTGGGCACCATGACAAGAGTGTTTAGAATATTCTCTTCCAAGAAGGAATAGTCGTGGCTCTCCTTGCTCTTTTTTCTACTCACAAGCACCCTATAGGACAGAGTAGAACTGTCCCATAGGGTTTACAAGGAGTGGCTGGTAGATTTGAACAGCCAGCCTTTTGTTTTACTCCTTTTTAGCATGTATATCATGACTATAATTGACATCTGGAGTCCATCCTGTCCTAGTCTCCTTTTATAAAACTATTTGGAGAGATCTTGTTTGATTTGGAATCCCTTGGTGGTACAAACTGTTAATGTGTTTGGCTGCTAACAGAAAGGTTGGTGGTTCAAGTCTACCCAAAGGAGACTCAGAAGAATGGCCTAGAAGTCTACCTCCAAAAGATCAGCCATTGAAAACCCTATGAAGCACAGTTCTACTCTGACACACATGGGGTCACCATGAGTCAGAATAGACTCGATGGCAGCTGGTTTTTTGATGTAGGATTTTTCTGATTTCAATAAATATGTTGAGGTTAAGTGACCTGGGTAGGGGCATGAAAATTACAATTTATTCTACATTCAAATGAACAAAATTATATATTGAAACGACCTTAAAGAAGTTATTTTTACTCACATAATTATTTGTCTAGAGCCACTGGGTGGCTACAGCATGAAACAAAATGAAAATAGGGACTTCAGTTTCAGCTATGACGTGTACAATCTAAATAGGACTTTGCGCAGATTGAAATTCTATGCTAATAAATCACTATGTTTTGCTTAACAAAAGTTTTATTATTGCTATTTCACTAATAAACTTAAGGTACTTCAGATCTATCTATGGAGTTTGTTAAGAAGGGGTTTTAATGAATTTGGGGGGGGCGGAAATGAAGACTTAGAAGAGACTATCCCTCCCCAACTCTCTATTCATTGTCCAAGCTCGCTTTCCAAATGTCTTTCCAAGGACTCTTTTAATATCTTCCTATTTTTGGTGACTGGAGTTCAAACATAAAATATATTGCCATCCAAGTTATTTTCCTAAAATATAGATGAAATCTTGTCATTCTACCTGTTTTTAGACAATGATTCTCTACCAGACTCACAAAAAGTTCCAAACTTAAATTCACATTCAAATGATTCTAAAATCTGCATTATGTCTACCTTTACTTTTCTACCACTCAATCCACAGTACTGATGCTATTGATATGCTGTACCTCTAGCCTGTCCTTGTAGCATTCCATATCCCCACACACCTGAAACTTTTGCTAAAGCCATTTCCCACACATGAAAAGTTCTACTCCACATTTTCTTATGTCTGTCAATCTCAGTCGTGTCTTTTTTAAAGAAGTAACTAATAATTCACTTCCTGTCTTCTCACATCCACAGCTAAGCTCTCCTTGGCTAAATCTCCATATACATATATATATATATATATATATATATA